ACTAAAACACTAAAATTCTTTATCCTCCAAAGCTCGGATCAAAGGAGCATTTAGAACGAAAGAAGCACCTGCTTTAGGGCCTTTCGACATCCCAACCCTACTTGTCTCACCCCTATATCCCGATGCCCAATCTCTACCAAGCCTCATGCCCCTAACTGCTAGGTTACAGGGTGGCACGACCCACCCCAGACTCGGAACCCCCCCATCTGTTGGGACACAGGGCAAAGCGACCCGCCCCAACTCCGGCCAACATCGGCTAGGCATCAGCTCACCAAAAGATACTAGAGTGCCTTCCGCCCTCGACAACTCCCCAGATCTCTTTACCAGGTCTCATGCCCTCATACAGCTCGAGTTACAGGACAACGCAACCAAGCCCCAACACCGACCATCGTCGTTTTGGCCTCGTCTATTCGCAAGCCACCGGGACTCAAGACTAAGGTAAATACCAGTCAAGCTACCAATCAACACCATAGTTGTAGATCCCATCATTCATCTTTCAAATATCCCCTCTAAAAAGTCATTCTCAACCCTACTCCGATAAGTCTTACACGGTGAAACCACCATTTTCACCGTTGTTGTACCCTATTTCAACCCTACAGGCTAGCCTGTACGCCGCAGAGTGCGTCATCTCCCCGTGTCACAACACCACTACTCCCTGACTTCAACACCAAACCTTGGAAGAATTTTTCAATTAGGAAAACAGAAAGTCAAAACATTCCAAAAAAACACATGACCGTTTCAGCGCCTACTATTCCCACAGGAAGAGGGAAAAATCCAGCGCCTATGGAGGTCTCGGTTACATGAAAAGGGTCACAAAAACCAAAGGTATTACTCCTCTCTCGAAAAAAACAATCCCCTGTCTGTTCACTGCCTCCATGGGAAGGTGCCCCCTCACCTCCCCGCCCCAGTTTAGAACAACCCTCAAAATACCCATCCTGCTCTCTCAGTCGCATACACCCCGCAGAGACGAAGATCCTCCTTCCTTCCTGCTTCACCCCCTCCAAGCGGAACAACCCTCTCACCTCTCACCCTGCTGACATCAGCACCCCTTGTCCTCTCTCCCCAACCGCCATAGCTGATCCGACCCAAAAATCAGCGTGGCCCAGAAAATGACAAACCCTCAATACCGCCCCTACCCTCTCAAGGATCAGACCACTCACCTTGTGTAACCCTCGCAGGGAGGGACTCTAACCCTAAAGGAGATAATTCATTCAACACCTATGACCCGGATCCCACAACATCACGGACAGAGGCCCATTTGCTAAGAACAACAATTGAAAAAAAAACTATTACTTGAGTAATCACTATTTGAGACACCATTTTTTTGGAAACAACCCTAAAACCATAAAGACAGAGAGTCAAAAATGAACCCGCCAGCTATCTAAACCTTCAAGTTCCCCCCTCAACAGACGAATCATAGGTATAGGCTTTCAGTCCTCGTACCAGAACTCACCTAGTCTCTCACCCCCTTCTGCTAGGGTGACAGGGCAACACGACCTTCCCCAGTACCGACCAACCTAACTCTGATGGATAAGAAATGCCTTCCTCCCTCAACATCTCCCTTAGCTACAAGCCCCTGATAGGTTACAGGGTAGATACCCCAGCGCCGGCTACGTCGGACAATGTGGTTATACCTTCCACCCTCGACAAAACTCCACAGGCCTCAAGCTCCCCCAGGTCATAGAGTAGACACTCCAGCACCGGTCTGTGTCGTCACATCCTCGTCCTTCTAAACCTACTTCCCTGAACAAACAACCCCTCCCCTGTTGCAAGATTCCTTACTACCTTTCATCCTCCAGTTCCAACTCCCCACCTGAATTCACAACATAGTACTTGTTTAGAATTGAAATTTAGAAATGAATTTTAGCCAATCAAGTTTTTAGCCAACTGGGTGAGGTCCATCCCCCAAAGTTCCCCCTCTCCCTGCTGACCCTACTCCGACTGGACATACTACGCCTTAGCGCTGCCATACCCTATTTCCATCCAGTTGGCTAGCCCCCTCACCAACTAGATGCATTACATCCACCCCATAAGACCTCCGCCACCCTGTTGCAAATTCCAGCATTAAGAACCTGATGTCATCACTTAGAAATTTCAACATATAAGCCCTCAAAAGGGTCATGAATCAAGATGAGACAATCAAAAATTGAGTCAAGACACATAGTGACTAAAATTTCGAAATCAAGATTACCTACCTCATGAATTTAAGCATCGGCACATATCAGAAGATCAAACGACATTGAGTTAAGATTTGAAAATTACTTTTAAGAAATCAGAGGTGCCCAACCTCTGATTTACGAATCTCAGGCTACATGTATTGCCTAGAAAGTAATTCAACAACAAAACATACGATAATCGACACGGCTAATGATGTGAAATTTGAAAAAAAATAGGCAAACAAACTAAGGTCAAACAAAATAGGTCAGAATTAATCTTGATTTTCAAACCTCATAATCAAAATTATTAGTTACATTTTCGTTACATATATAGAATTCAAGGTTAGAAAGACTAATAGGTATTTAACCAGACAAAACTATTTAGGAATCACATCGTTAACAATCTCATCAGGGTCATCACAAAATCATCATTATAAAACATGAAGAGGAAGAACACAACTTACCCTCGACAATCCCTAAACGCACCCCCCCTCTCTCCAAACCTCACCTCCTCCTTCATCGGCTCTCAAGCAACTCAGCCGCATGTGGTTGACAACTATATAACCATCCTAAAGGACAGAACGATGAAGATAACAGAACCGCAACTAAAATTACCATAACAACAATCTAAACCACATCACGAGACTAAATTGTCGAGCCTGCCAGCCGCCCCTCGCAGGTAGCCCAAAGAGATGAAGGGGTGCCATCATCGCAGACGTCGCCCGCCTATAGAAGACCTGTCTTCAACATCCTTACTCCCGCGTTCCTCCTTCCATTCCTTCTTGCAATACTCTCCCTCTAGCCCATTAAACCCTGTCTGCCTCCCCTTACTCCCCCCCCCGACATTTCTCCTCTCCAACGAGACCATAATATGAGACACACTGCCCCCGTGTTCTTCCTCTCAAGCAAGCAAGCACGTGACAAAAACAGCAAACAGGAGAGCCTTCAACAACGCCCAGACACCACTAGCCTGCTCCTTCATGCCCCACGATCCCTCTCCCGCCTCATCATCCACTTGCTGTCCTCTCGCCCCGCACTCTCGTCCTCGCGTCAAACTTCCGTCATGGCGCCCCAACCGTTCTTCGTTTCCCACCCTCACCAAGGAGTCTGCCGTTGCGTCAAAACGTCGGGCGGCGGAGCGTTCCCAGTAGCACTCCGCCGCTCTTCTCAAGTTCTTAGTACAACCCTTTAGTACTTCATCGGAATATAGATGGTTACTATTTCCTCAAGCGGCCAGCCGTATCATGTGTGGGCCAACTGAAAGCACTCCAAATTCAGTGAGTTTTCTCGCTCAGAAGAATGCGTGAAAAAACCTGAAAATTGGAGTACTCGTAGATTTTGTTGTGATCTTTCCAGGAAAAATGCTAAATAAATTAAAAAAAATCATTCCAACTGTGAAATAGATCGCGGCCGCAATTTTACCCATATTTTAATTTTGCCATTCAGCCTCTCTCTCTCTCTCTCTCTCTCTCTCTCTCTCTCTCTCTCTCTCTCTCTCTCTCTGTAGTAGGCGCCCCCCCCTCCCTCTCTCTCTATCTCTCTTTCTTTCTCTCTCACTCTCTCTCTCTCTCTCACACTCATAACAATACATGGAACCTCTCTCTCTCTCTCTCTCTCTCTCTCTCTCTCTCTCTCTCTCTCTTGTGCGCGCTCTTGGTCTCATTGCTTTGGCTACCTTAGGGCTGCGTTCCTCTCGCCCACGCGGTAGACAATTAGTTAGGGTATCTAGGGGACGCTGGACCCGATTTTCAGCTGGTGACCGGTCTAAAGGGAAACCGGGTAAGGCTCCCGGTCCGTATGTGGCTTGGCTACTCCGGGTAGACTGTGAGGACCCCGGCCTCAAAAGATTATCAGTTTGTAAGGGACGTGGAGCTCTTTTTATAATAAAAAAAAACATAAAATAAAAAAATAATTGAAAAAGAAAAGGTTGATCACTACGATAGTTTGCAGAACTGTACGTTTCCTATGTGAAAGTGGCCTGACTCACGGCCAGCAAATTTTGTTACTCCTAATGTAAGGGCCTACTCTCTTGGCCTCTGAGTACATTTCTATAGTGTTTCTGATATGAGGGCCTGTCTGCGCTTCATTCCTGACTTCACTTACTTATCTGGAAGTAGCCAATCTGCAAGTAGCAACTTACCTTCAGTAGAGACCCAAGCAAAGCAGCCATTTCTAGCCCAGGTTTGGGAAAACGAGTATCGACTTTTATGAACCTGTTGGCGGGTAGAACGCCAGTCCACTCTAATACAGAGTCTAATTAAAGACCAGGCTCAGGAAAGAAACGTGTTCCTGACTGAAGACAGCTTTATTCCTGGCCTTCCATAAGGTTTCCAACTTTCCATAATTGCTCCCCTGCAGGCAAGGGCCATGAAGTCTAATACGTACGTTTTTTCCGGGTAAGAAGGTAGGGGTCCTGGCCCTAAGCAGCTGAGTTTAGCTCCATAGCACAGGCATGACAGCTCAGAGGTCCAGGTGTGTCGTAGCACGAGTACCTTCTAGCGGGCTTGCCGCTGCCCTTTTCGGATTTTTTTTTTTTTTGAAGGGCGACGGCCTTGAGATATCATCATTAAGCTGACCGCCCCCAGGCAATTCAGAAATAGTTGGTTTCACAACTTTTACTCATCAATCAAGTTCCGTCATCTGGATTCGAACACGGGTCTGTATTTTCGACAGTTCATGGGTGTACCCACCGAGCTCGCCTCTTCGGTCTTTTCGGATTTTCATCTCCCTGCACACTCGGCTTTTTGACCGGATGTGCGTAAGGTGAGGATCCCAGAAATGATCCAACCCGGTAGGTCGCCATAGCCATGACCGTATGAACTCCGAGGCCGGCCAACGGGGGTGTCACCCAGAGTAGAAAGAACTATCAAAACCACGAACACAATTTCCGCGAGCGGTGCCTGCCACAGCACAACGAATCGCCGCCGGCTTGAGCGCGGGGAAAAAGTTGAGATTAACGCGGGCGACCAAAGCCGAAAAAACGCGCGGATTCGCCCATTGGGTACCCGCGTGTCGCACGGGTGTTAGTGTAAGGAGCCTGGGGACAGGTATGGCGGGGACGATGAGGAACGTGGCAATGGTGTCGCGCAGTGCGTTGAACGCAATGCTGCCGCGGTGTAATAGGAGGCTAGTGCAGACTTCAGCACCTCAAGGCGGCTTGAGAGCTCCATCGTCTTCCGATTTCGGCGCGAGAGAGCTGGAGGTGAGTGTCGGACGAACTTCCCTCACTGGTAACGTTTTTCACGACAACAAGAGAGAGAGAGAGAGAGAGAGAGAGAGAGAGAGAGAGAGAGAGAGAGAGAGAGAGAGAGAG